GCAGATGGTACATGGAAGAGTGAAATGGCCAGATGTGTATGAGCCCAGAAGTAGAGTTTTACACTATTTCATCCTACTACTCCAATACACAAGTGAAAGATAAAACTTCAGAGTCAAAAGCTAGAAAGAAAATGAAAAATGATGTGTACATTGATTTCCAAATATTTTTAAATAATCCAAAGTAAGGGACATATCTCTGCTGTGCAGGACTGTTTTAATTATACATGGTTCCTAAAGACACAACTGTCTACTTGCAGGTTAAGCTATTGATCAACAGAATTTTATACAAATAAGAAAGCATTTTAGTTCTATGATGAAGCTCCAGTCATTTTGAATTTCATATTTCCTCCGTCCTGTGCTCTTCAAAAAATTATTAACTTTTAGTTAAGAATCTGACTTCTTCCTCTCAATATCAGTGATAGAAATTCATTTTCTTTCAACTGGTCTTTATCACTTTACCCTACTCTTAAACTACTTTTGATGATTACTGACCTTTTCTAACATGAATCAGACATGTCTCAATTGAAAAGCTTAGTTTAGTTTTGAGTTTTGTGAGTTTTTAAAAACCAGTTTAAAAAGCAATGAGATATTTCAGTTCAACTTTTGTGAAGTTCTAAATGATATAATGATAGAATGAAAAATATTAAGCTCACCCTATCACCCTTCAGCAACATAGGTATGGTTCACATTCCCCATGCCACCCATTCTCTCAGGACAGCAATATGGTGGCTGTCATTTCTAGCATCCTCAGCTATGGCTGACTAAAATAAGATTTTGAAGAATGAATAAGGTCTGTAAGAAGAACAGAGCACTTCAGCTGAGGGGGACGATATGTGCAGTGTACAAGAAAAACATGAAGGACATTATGACAACTTGGGAAAAGGGAATGAAGCATGATAGATTACACAATGTTGCTGTTATGGCTTTGTTTCAATGCCCCACACACACCAAAATTTTATGTGGTCATAGACTGTTTCTGAGATGGCTGAATCTAGAGTGTATGATGCTGGGATAAGGATGTTTGACTACAAAATCAGTCCACTAAATGGTTTGGTACCACACTAATGCCTGTAGTTTGGATAAGACAAAAGGGACAGAAACACACTGTTAGGGTCTTCCCTTGTTGCTTGCTTTTGCTGTCATCTGATGCCATGAACTGTTTCTCCTCTGGCATGCACCTCTACCAAGCCAACCTGCCTTGGAGCCACTCACCTGTGGACTGAAACCTCCATAAACTGTGAGCTAAATAAACCTTTCTTCCTTTAACTTTGGTTGATGCATAGTTTGTCTCAGCAGCAAGAGAAAAGTAACTAAGACAGTTGCTAAGTTAGAACAAATTTTGAGGACCTTTTATACCATTTGAAGAAATCTGAATAGATGCTAAGATAAGGGCAAGCCATTATCAACCTGTTTTCTTCTGTATTCATTTACTTCTTTCCTCTTTTGTTGCTATTTAGGTTTAAAGACAAAACTGGCCATACCTCTTAGGCTGTGTTCTTCTCCATTTATAGCACATTTCTACAGTTCAGTTCATTTAGCACCCTAATTCCATGGTTCTCAGTATGTGAAAGGGCTCTTTGGCATGAAGATAGCCGTGACTAATTCAAAGGAAGTCAATTTAAGTGGAACCCTGGAAGCCTATCACACAGTTGAAAAATACTGATACAAACAGAAAAAAAATTTAAAAGACGTGCAGTAGAGGAAAAATACATATGCTCAACTACCGAAACTGTGGTTATCCTTTTAAAAAAAGATACATTTCTTCTTTTGTGCCTGTGCAGTTGTCTACTCTGCGACCTCAGGTGGAGGACAGTTCCAGTAACAGAAAGTGTTGTCCCAGGCTCTCTTCACAGTGATCCAGATTTCACATAGGTTTATTTTGGAACTGACAGAACCTAAGCAAGTCCACCTAAGTAAAAAACATTGCAGCATATGAATAATTATTCCACAAGTACAGAGTGTGTGTGTGTGTGTGTGTGTGTGTGTGTGTAATTTTGAAACTTTAAAAAAAAATTGGACTCATTTTCTGTAATTTAGCTCTCTTAATACTTTCTACTTGGGCTCCTCCTCCAAAGAAAATTATTTTATAAGCTTTTAATACATTATCCAGTCAAAAATGTACTTGTCTTGAGACAAGAGATACTGTTCCTAGCCCACACGCGCTGCAAGACCAGCAGAAATGTGTCAAAAATGATGGAGACTGCAGTAAACAAAATAACATCCTGTCGGCAGGCCTCAAGAACTTGCAATGCTCACTCTTTACTTTCTAATAAGTACTGGTTTTATTAGATGGAACGTGCTAATATCATTTGTAAGCAAGTGTTTGTTATATAACTCATTGGATTGTGAGAAAAAGAAAAACAGGTCACTTTAGGAAGGATGTGTTGAAGAGTTTGGTGCATTGTCTGCATTTATAAACACAAATATATCAAATTCAATGCTGCTGATTGATTACTCAACTTCAGGAAGTATAGAGGTCATAATATCTATCACTTTAATTTTACCAAGTAATAAGTAGTGATGAATTTACTAAACAAATATATTTTTAAATAATTCGCTTGAGAATCCTGGAGTATAAATATGGTTACTTCAGATCTTCCCATAACTAATGTTTGTTTGGTTTAGGAGCATGGCATTCCTACTGACATGGGCTATGCAGTAGCCCCGCACCATTCAGGTGTCTACCCTGTACATGTTCAGCTTTATGAGGCTTGGAAGAAGGTTTGGAATATTAAAATCACCAGCACTGAAGAGTATCCACATCTGAAGCCAGCTAGATATCGGAGGGGGTTCATCCACAAAAACATCATGGTAAGCTTTCTTAGTTGTTCTTAATTCTGACAGACATATTCCTTGTTTGAAGAAGAAACTAAAGAGCAAAATGTTAAAAGCTTGAATATATGAAAAGCTCCAAGAATGCTGTATGGCTAAACAAGTATGTTCAAATTAGTGTTTTTTAATTAACACTAATTTTCTATGGCTAAACAAGTATGTTCAAATTAGTGTTTTTTAATTAACAGTGCTCATTAGTAGGCACTGTTGTAGAAACACTTTAAAAAGTTATCTCAAGTTTCAGAGGATTTTAGTTTTGGTGTTTTGTTTTGTTTTGTTCTGATTTTTCTTGGTACTGGGAATCAAACTAATGACCTTGCACTTGCCAAGCAAGCACTGTGCTACTGAATGATATCCCCAGCTCAGAGGATTTTAGAAGCCATCATTCCTTCAAAAAAAATTATTTACTAAATACAAGAAAAACTACACTTCCCTATATTAATCATTTTGTCCTTAGAGAAGCCAGCTAAACTCTGTTTTTTACTATATCAACCTTTAAAAAACCCTGATAACTAAACTGTCTGTAGCAAGAAGCTGTATACCATGTCCTGCATAATCATTATCGGATGATAAGTGACAGGATAAGTGATAGATGATGTCAGTGAAATGACTTCTGTCCATTGCCTAATTCTCTCCAGAGTGTCTCAAGTTTGCTTTGTTTTTACACTAGTAGCAAATGTATATTATCAAAATATGTTAAAATTTAATATTTTGTTAGACCTCTCCAAATAAATAATTACATTTTAAGGTTTCCCAAGCCAGAAAATCCAAGGAAAATACTAAAAAGATAGGAGTGGCTCTCCTAACAACTCAAAGTGATAGATTTGCACAGACACTATTCTTTGGACGTAGGTGTATCTGTTTCAACTCACATCTTGACTTTTCTCTCAGTCAGACAATGTGACAAATGTTAGGTGGGGATATAACAGCCATATTTTATCCTAGCCTGCCTTTTGTCTGGCCAGTAAAAAAAAAAAAATGGACTTACTATGCCTTAAGCTGCTGGCCCTTCTGACTAGGGAAAATTTTAAAGACATGTCTTACACAGTAGCCAAATGCTCATTTGTCATCATAAAGTAAAAGGCACTTCCATAATAGTGAACTTTAACCTTTAAAGATTAGAGGGTTCCTTTTTCTTTGTTTTGTTTCTTTTTCTGTACTGCTAGAAAACTTGCTGGGATATTTCCCTTGAGATAGGTTCAGGTTTTGTTTTTCCTAAAAACAATATTTTACCTGTATTATAAATGCATGAATCTTATAAGTCATAAAAGCTCTGAAAGATTTCTTGTTTTGACAGAACTGTCCTCGTGGCTCCACTTTTTCATAAAAAGCCTCTATATTTGGTTTGTGAGGTCTTGTATAAGAATTTCCAAGGGACTAATGTTCAGCAAGCACTTTGTAATTCAATAAGACAAAGAGGAAAGCCTAGGAGCCATCAAAATAAAGATACAATCTGATACCACAGCATGCCTTCACAGTGACACACAGAAAAGGAAAAATGAGCAAGGAACTGAAGTATGATCTTTACATCAGACATGCCTTTTGCTATTTAATATGAGGGGGAAAAATTTTAATGATCCACTCATAAGTCACATTCAAAAGACTTAAATTCATTATCCTCCCTTGTCAGCTATTGAGTCTGCTATTCCTAATCCACTTCTGCAATGTGAATATCACATGGAGACCCCATTTCCAGTCAGTCTCCAAATACCATCAGTAATTTCTTTCTAATCTCTTTTCATTTGCTTTAGAACACCCAGTATAGGGCCGGCCAAATAGCTCAGAACATTAAAGCACCTGCAAGTAAGCACAGGGCCTGGAGGTTTGATCCCTGGGCCTGCCATGCCGGCCCCGCCCCTGGGTACACTGAGACAGCAATTGAGATTGGGCGTGGTGGCATGTGCCTGTAATCCCAGCTCTTGGGAGGCTGTAAACAGGCAGATCACTATAAGTCCGGTAGTAGTGAGACCCTGAACACCCTGTAGACCCTTCCCTAAAATACAAAAAAAAAAAAAAATAGAACAACCAGTATGTTAATTAATAGCTTTGATTTTCATATGTTAACTACTGTGTTAGTTCCCTCCTTATCTATTCACAGCCTGCATGCACCTCACCACCACCACCACAGTCCACCCCATGGATGGTACCAGCACTTGGACCTTTCTGATATTTCTAACCTTTATTATTTATGGTTGTTTCCATGCCCTCTTACTCTCTTCTAAGTCTTGAAAGCAGGTTGGAAAAATCTACCTTACTTTCCACTATTTTTGTACATCTTCTACGCTCATTCAGCCAAATAGGCCTACAACAGTGTTGCTGTTTAGGAACGTTTTACTATTCTTTCACTTAGGGTGACTTTCTGGCAATTACCTAGTTCTATACCCTTTATTCTTCAGTATCAAGCATGACATCATACATAATTTACTGTAAAGCCTCATGATATATGTCAATTCATCAACAAACTCAACCTGCAGTGATCTCATCCTCCTGAGTTCCTGTATTATCCTGAGGAATATAAAAATCCTATGCATCAAGGTGTTTGAGCACTAACTCTAAAGCTTCTGAACTTCTAGTCTTGCATTTTCCAATGGGCAAAATTTATCCTTACACAGTTATATGATTAATGAAATGGCAGGACTCTACTCTAATCCATGGATGGATTGATTGATTGATTGATTGATTGATTGATTTCATACAGGGTCTTGTTGTGCAGCTTGGACTTGCAGTGATCCTCCTGTCTTAGCCTCCTCAGCACTGCTGCTTAAGCGTAACTTCTGAAGAGATCCAGAGATCTCTAAGGAATCAGATACACTCTGACTTTCTACTACCTGTTGCCAATAGAGATGCCCATTGGCATAGGCTTTCATCAGTCCTATTGACCAGGTGATCTTTACTAACCACAAGAACAAGTGACAGTTTTGCTAGTATGAAGCCTTAGATCTATGGCTTCAGGTACTGTGAGCCCAGATTCTTCCTGATAGTGGCTTTCATAACCATGCAGCTAGATTTCCAAGGGTTCCTCAGTATCTAAATTTTCAAATTGGATGATGTTACCCTATAAGAATCATGTATAGAGCAAAATACCTTTTTAAAAAAAGTCCTTCCTTCTCTAGAATGAGAAAACTGTTTAAAGGAAGCTGTTCTATGTCCTACAGCATTATAATACATGTCCTGGCCGTGAAACATGACCCTTACGGCACTCCTGATTGTCCACTTAACCTCCTGAGTGGTCCACCGCTTCACCTCACCGTTCACTGCTTCTCATGCTAATGCTTATCCTCTCAGCAGTAGTCCTTCCTGGAGTTGCAGCGTGAAGCCTGAAATTTCCTCTTCATGAGGCTCACACTTAAATAATTTAAGAAGAGAAAACAATTATTTTTCATTTCTCTCTCCACTTAACAGAAAATTACCTGGGCAACTGAGTTTTGCAGACAGCTTTCTGTGTATCTTCCACAAAATTTCATAATTTTCCAAAACAGATAATCAAACTGAAGCCTAAAAGTGATTTAGTTAGAATCGTATACTTTTAAAATGTAACTCTAACCTGACAATCACATGTGGACATTTTATCATTTAGCTTTTGAAAATATATCTTAAATTCTTCAAATGCAGAAAACACTCATCTTCATATTCTTTCATGGACGAGTACAGAGTTTAAAAAATGCATTTGTTAAGTAAAGGAAGAAATATTAGAAAGCTTTAATTTCCAGAAAATGAGGGGCCAGGGAGATACCTCAGTAGAATAAGTGCTTCCCTGGCAAGCACAAGGGCCTGAGTTCAATCCTTGGTTCTGGAAAAAAAAAAAAAAATTCAGAAAATAGCGTTTTCAAGACATATTAGAAAATATATTTAATTCAGTTAGAATACCTATTATTTTAGCCTTGTTTTGTTGTTGATCTACGTCTAACAATGTATAATGCTTTCAAAATGTTTAATGTTTTCAAGGAAAGCTAATATTCTATTAATCAAATAGAACTTCTTTGAAGTATTCCAAGATACAAGTTTTTAATGACATAACTTCTACTGATGTACTAAAACAAATAAGATACATAGTTTTATTTATTCAAAAATATATGATACATTAATTGAATTAAGATTTCCTGAGAAAACATTCCAAGAACTAGATAAAAATTCATTACAAAAAAAATTCAAGTTAAAACAAAAGTTTTTTTTTTAATTCTATATGTATAGATGGAATACATATAGAATATGGAAGTCCTGAACAGGCAGTATTTTAAAAATATTACTGGATCAAATGGACTTATGTGTCAATACTTATAAATGTGGCTTGGAAAAACTGTTTAATTTTTTTTTCCTAATTTTTTTTCTTCAAGATTCTTTTAACAGGTGATTTGTAGTAATGACTGTTGACTTCAATTTTACAGTGTAATAATTATGTTAGAGATTAACTCTTTGATCATATTTATCCCAACACAGAACTTGCTGCTGTGTCTTCTTTCTTTAGTGATAAGCGAAAAACTCACAGGATTAAAAAAAAAAAAAAGAACGAAAACAATAAAATGAAGATCTATTTGCTTGTAAAAATAAGCAACAGACTTACCTGTGTTTGATGATAAAAATGTGTAGTTTCCCAAAATATATTCACTAATTATCTGTGACTTCAAGCTAGTTCTAATATACAGAGGATGAAAAGGAGACTTTTCACTATATGATTATTAATCATTATTTATTATTTATGATACTTTCTAAGAATAAATTACCAAATGATAATCCTTTTCTTTTAACTCTTGGAACTAGCAGGCTTCACATTTAGAATTTTGAACATTTACTATATCTTGCACGAGTACTTTCAGACTAAAGCATATACTGTGATTTATGTCTCAAATATTTGTTCTAAATTAAATGTCATTTTCTAGGAGGCACATAAAGTTAATAAGTGACATAATTTTCTGAAGCATGTATAGAATTGGGCAGAAGGTCTTATTGTGTACATTTTTGCCAATGAAGATTACAATGTAGCACAGTTAATTTCAGTATTTTTAGTCTAATTTTTCCTTTTTTATTTTTTAAGACACTAAAACACTCTACTCCACAATGAAAATACTTGGAGATTTAAAGTGGAAATAAATAATTCAGAGTATATATTAGTCTAAAATACTTTTTCAGTGTGTTTCATGGTTCCTTCTGCATGAATCTCATTTTGTCCTTTCAAGAGTGGGAAGATTTTTTTCAAGTCCAGAGTTAAGTATTACCTTGTAACCAATTTTTAAGAGAAATATTGCCCACAAAGATATTGGTTGAAAGGAGCCTTTTAACCTTGTTCGTTTTTCCTTCAGGTTCTTCCAAGACAGACCTGTGGGCTTTTCACTCACACAATTTTCTACAAAGAATATCCAGGAGGCCCTAAAGAGCTAGACAAAAGTATTCAAGGAGGCGAACTTTTCTTCACTGTCGTACTCAACCCTGTAAGTACTCGGAGTTTTTCTTCAAATAGTGAAAACTGACAGGACACATGAAAATCACCCTAAAGAAGAGGCTAGGGTTTGGGTGTCAGCCATTTCAACAAGCAGTTCCAGCTCTAAAACAGTAGTAAAAACTGAAGGGTGTCATTCTAGAAATGGGAATACAATGTTTATTGTACAAGCAACGGTGACATGGTGAACTAAGGGTAGAATGCGGGAGTGCTCCAGCCAGCCGTCCTCTCTGATGGGAAAGCAAACACAATTTAAAGATTCAAAGGTGTCCAGTTTCCATTGGGAACCAGTTTTCTGGGTTTGATCTTGTTTTTCATTAAGCAATCAGCTTTACTGCTCCTTTTCTCTACTCTTCCTCATTCCATTATTCATACTTAAGAGCAATACTAGCATGAACCACTTGAAGTGTTTTTTACGTGAGGCAAGTAGTGGAACATGATGTGGGGAAAGAAAAGCCAACTGAAATAAGGTAAGTCAGGAAAGTAATTTTTCTGTGGGAAAATCATGAACATAAAAATAAAACTAAGCTCATTTGTCAGATATAAGGGTTTGCCCCCACCATTGGTAATATTTAGGATGAAGCACTCCTTCAAATGGGGTGAAAAAATTTTATCAGGATAAAAATTAAGGAGCACAGAAATAACCAGGATAAAATTTGAGAGACTCCTTTCATAACCTTAACTTTACAGGCCTGCAAATAACATTACAGACACTTTTTTATTATTTATTCTTTTTTAATAGTTGTATCTATTTTTTTAGCTTCTATAATATTTTACTTCCTAGAAATAGAGTGGAATAGAAATACAGGTAACTCCTCTTCAAACAATTCTTCAACTAGGAGCTAGGAATTATAGCTCAGTGGCAAAGGGCCTGCTTGGCAAGCTTGAGGTTCTGAGTCCTGTCCCCAGAACAAAAAACAAAGAAATAAATAAGTAAATAATAAGTAAATATATATATATATATATATATATGTCTCAATGATGTTCAGAACTGGAGACCATATAAAAATGTGGCATTGAGCCTTTTGGATATTTAGCAACTCTGAGATGCTCAAAATATAAATGATTAGAATACAAACATCATAAATAATTTGATTTCCTAACTTCCCTATTGTCTACAAATTGAAATGTCTTTAAGTCATACCATATAGCTTTTTTTCTTTTTTTCTCAATTCAGCTTATAATGCATAGGCAAAGAGAATTAAATCAATTCCTACTATTAACTGAAAATTTATCTCTGGCTCCTATTATCTTTTATTTTGTTCTTTAATTATGTATACTTGGCTTTCTCATGTAAGAGAATTCATGCATATTTAAGTTTGTGTGTCTCGACTCAGTTAAAATATTTTTTAAATTCTAACATTTCAGCTTAAGACCCTTTTGAATCCATAGATTCTGATATTTCACATTTCCTCGCATCATGAAACAATAAGACTATGAACCACTCTTACTCTTTTAACTAATAGTTGCTTTGATGATTAAGATGTTCCTGGTGATAATGTTAATTCACTATTTCCTAAAGCAAATGAATTTTATTTAACATGAAAGCAATTCAAAATTAGATCATTCTTATCTGGTAAGTTTATATTACAATTTCCACCTCTATAAAAATAATATGTTTTTCACAAATTAGAAATAAAATCATTTTTAATTTTAAAAACTCATATAAGATAGTTTGTATTACCTTAGGACATTAATTTAACCTAACTGAGCAACTCTGTTGAAGCCTTTATCAGTAATAATTGGCAATTTTATTTACCTAGGTGAAAAGACTCATTAGGAATAAAGGGTAAAATGTTTTGTAATGCTTTTTCTTGATTTAGAAAACTCTCAGGGGCCAGCCAAATAGTTCCGTGGATTAAAGTACCTGTAAGCCGGTGCAGGGACTGGGCTTTCAATCCCTTGCCTGCCTGCCAGTCCCACCCACCAGGGCGCACTGAGACAGCAATTGAGACTGGGTGTTGTAGCACCCACCTGTAATCCCAGCTCTTTTTTATTTTTATTTTATTTTTTTATTTTTTTCTTTTGTAATCCCAGCTCTTGGGAGGCTGTAAACAAGTGGATCATTACAAATCTCATCTAGTAGTGAGACCCTGAATACCCTGTAGACCTTTCCCTAAAATACAAAAAAAAAAAAAAAAAAAAAAAACCCTCTCAGAAGAGAATTTCAGGGTAACTACCTGCTTGGGCCCCCCTCTTGTCCCTCTCTTGGACAGGAGCTTTCCTTCCCTCAATAAATATATTCTGCTCAAAAAAAGAAAAAGAGAATTGCTTTCAGATAGACACTTGGACTCAAAATAAATGACAAATCTTGTCAAGTACCCTCCAATAAGTAACAAATTCAAAGCCTTTCATCTGGTACACCAGGTGCAGTACTGGAAAACAGTTCCATTTACCTGTGGACACCTGGCTGAGAAGTCTATAGGTAAGCTCAGCCAATCTGGCCATAGGGAAGTCTGCTATAATCAGGGTTACCTGCTTTGCATAATGAAGTAAGGAAAGGTGGTATCTTTCCTATGAGTTCTCATAGTAATGCTTGAGTGAAATTTGTGTTAATGTTTAAAAACTTTCAAGTGAAGTAAGACACACGATTAATTTATCAAGTGATATTCTTTATTAGGTTCAAATGAGAAAAGCTTGATGCTATCTAACTATATATTAGCTACAAGAAAGACATGAATTTTAATTATAATGAATTTGAAAGAGAGCCATTGTAAGATTTGTAATATTTCAGGGTTCAAATTACAATTATTTTTTGCCAAATGAGTTTGTTTACTTACAAAAAAGTTGATGTGTACAGTAAACATTAAACTTAACACATTCAGCTACACTGAAATTAAAAATGAAAACCTGATCAAGCCTTAATTAGTGAACTTTTTAAATTTTTTCCATACATCAATATGATATCCAGGTGCTAGAACTTAACAGTATTGTGTGGAGAATGAATCAACATAATATCATGCATCAACATAATATTAAGGTGTTAGAATAACTTATCTGTATTAGGTTAGAAATAGCTGGAATAAAATATCATTCAAAATTTATCTGAAATAGATCACAGCAAAGATAAAAACTCTTTGAATGGGATAACTTTAACTTTCTGGCCTGAAATGTTTCACTGTTACATGACATGACATGGCATGTCAATCAAGTGACTGTTATACAAACAAAACTTACAAAAACAAATGTTAGCACTGTGGAGGAGAAACAAAGCCTTGGTCATCTCTAAATAAGCATTTCCAATGCCACAGGCCTGGAATTCTCTGATGTAGATGGAATGGAGCAGTTTCAATTAATAGAATCTTGAGATTCAGTTTCAGTTGTGAAGTAGACCCGTTAGGCTCTTTAAGCCTAATCCATTAAAAAATTAATTTTTCTAACTCTTCTCATTCTGATGCTGAACTCAATTGTCAATTGACACAGGTTTGCTTTCCTACATAAATTTTGTTAGAAAAAATATGTTGATCATAGAAGATTCTACTCACTGGAACAGTAACTTGCAAAAGCAATTTTTTAAAATTGTTTTTTAATTAGTATTTTGCATGCAACCTGACCACCAGGATAGGGTCCTCTAATTGCACACATTACAATAGTTGGTTCCTGCCTAATTTATACCTTAGATGACTTTGTTTTTATTTGTTAATTTCATACTAATTTGATTTTGTCCCTGGGAAAGCTATTCTCCTCAGTGCACATATGCTATATCGGGTTTTGTAGTTCACCAGGCTGAGGAAACAAGCTCTGAAGTGCAGGCTAAATTATATATAATTTGGTATTGTTCTTCACACTCCTATCTTCCTGTGTGGAGATTTGTTTTCATGAATTTCTCTGATTTAAGGTGTAGAGACTCATACAAGTTATCTGTAAAAACGCTCCAGAAATCGAATATTCAGGAATTAAAGGGTTTAAAAGATTTTTGGAGTTCAAGGAAGCTCAGAAGTCCATGAAAACAGAGTTGCTGACTGCCAACATGTATTAGACTTTAACGTGAACAGAAAACAAGCTTTTTATGTGTCCTGCGTTTCTCTTATATCTACCACTAAAACACACAATTCTTCTTTGCCTCAAAAATTGGTTTGTTTCCAGTTCCTTAATCATCATGAATTACTCCCATACCTGGTTGAACAAGAAGTTTCCATACATCAGAAGTTTTCCGTATTAGAAATCTGCTTCAATTCTCAATGGCTGATTTCTTCACCCTCTTGTAGTTTCTTAGTTGATCTTCCCAGCAAGAGAATTGAGGTCATCCTTCTGAGTAAGCCTGAGTCAGTCTCCAGTAAGCCATCTCCTACAGAGTGGTGACCCCTGTGCATACCTCCATCCTCCTTTCTAACCATTCCTGAACAAAATTAAATAAGGGTCATTTTGTGTCAACAAAGATTTGTGAGGGGCAGGCACAATGGCTGCTCTCTAGCCGGGATCTGAATTCTCCAGAAGTCAGTATGGTCTTCCACCAATTCCAGGGATTTGGAACTAAGCTGAGCCTCTTTGTAGAGGGTATAATGATTAATTCTGAAGCTTGTAAGGCCTTGATAAGTTTCTTTTTAGGAGGGATTGGTTGATTTTATTTATCCTTTCTTGAAGTCACATGTCTTGTATTTTCCTTATTCTACAGCCTCCACACCAAAAGGGCTTATGGCATGGGGTAGGTACTTAGAAAGTATTTTATAAAGGAGTGAATTAGCACAAATGACAAAAGCTGAGGAAAGTGCTTATGCCAAAGTACACTAAGTTTGCCCATAACGGAAAGCATTCAGCCATTAAAAAATCATAATAATAGTAATGATTATTTCCATCATATTTGTTTGTCTGATTTTTATAAAATGTCTGTAAAAATGTCTGTGTCTTCCCATAGATCTGTTACTATTGTACCAGGAGATTCATAGTCACATATATTAAAAAGAATAATAATAAAGGATTATGTAATAGTTTAGGACACAAAAAGGAATTATTTTGGTATATGAATATGACAATTACAACATTAATACCTTT